GCTGCCTCGGATCAGCTGGCGCTCCTGCTAAATGCGGCCCCGCCCGGGGTAGGGCCAGGCCTCGGGAGGAAGAGCGCGTCTTTTGGGGCGCTGCTGTCGCAGCCCGGACGCGCGCGCCTTCTGTAGAGGCACGCACTTGAGGGCTTGGTGCCCTCCTCCTCCTCCTCCTCCTCCTCCTTCCGTGGCACCCGTGAAAGCGGTTAGGAAAGGGAGGTTGGGCGTCCATTCGCGCAGGGCCTTGCTTTGCTATGGGGAAGCCAAGAGGATATGACCTCAGCTGTGCGAACGTGATTAATGTGCATATTTTGACAACACTCGGGAGTGCAGGGAGCGAGAGTTGCTGGCAGGCACAAACACACAACACGCCCATGCGGTAAAAGAGTCGCTGAACAGAAACCTGTGTGGACCGGGGCGACCGACGGTGAAGGGAAGTTTTAACCGTCTCCCACCCGAGGTTGTGTCTGCTATTTGCATTATGAGCAAAACTCCCGTTGGCTTTCCAGAGACGTGTCTCTTATAATGCAAACAGCACATTAATGCAAACAGCACATTCCATGAGATTTTTTTTCCGTGGGACCTTAGCAGAAGAAATACACCCCCTAAGGCTTCTCAGGCTTGTCTGTTTTGGCTGAGAAGAGGGGATGAATAGTAGGATCACCTGGTGAGTATAAAATTTGTTTATAAAGCAAAAAACTGATCAGGTGGTAGGTGGAATGTAAACATGTAGATAAGCAGTCCTAAATCCCAGCATCTTTGAAAGCTGTTCCTGTTGGGCTGGAACTTTTGTCCTAATCAGGTCTTCTGGAAGCAGATGTCCTGTTCAAAATTTTTTAGAAAATCTTTCCAGAAGGCAGCATGAAAAAGAATTTCGTATAATGCGTTCAAGCAAAGCATTATCTATTTGTAATGCTCAAAAGGAGCCTGTGAAGTTAATTATGGTTCAATAAACTAACAGTTTTTGTTGGGTAGATAGCTCAGTGGTTTAGATATCTGGCTGCAGAGCCAGAAGTAGGGAGTTCAGTTCCCCCGTGTGCTGTGTGGGAGAAGAGCCAGCCTGTGTGAGCTTGGGCAAGCTGCGCAGTTCCAAGGTGCTCCTAGAAGGGAATGGCAAATCACTTCTGAGTTTTCTCTATCTGGAAAACCCACTAAATGGTCACCATAAATCAGAGTTGACTTGATGGTTGTTGTTGTTTAGTCGTTAAGTCGTGTTTGACTCTTCATGACCCCATGGACCAGAACATGCCAGGCCTTCCTGTCTTCCACTGCCTCCCGGAGTTGGGTCAAATTCATGTCGATAGCTTCAATGACATGTCCAACCATCTCGTCCTCTTTCGTCCCCTTCTCCACTTGCCTTCACATTTTCCCAACATAAGGGGCTTTTCTAGGGAGTCCTCTCTTCTCATGAGATGGCCAAAGTATTGGAGCCTCAGCTTCAGGATCTGTTCTTCCAGTGAGCACTCAGATTTGATTTCCTTTGGAACGGATAGGTTTGTTCTCCTTGCAGTCCAGGGGACTCGCAAGAGTCTCCTCCAGTGCCACAATTCAAAAGCATCTATTCTTCAGCCGTCAGTCTTCTTTATGGTCCAGCTCTCACTTCCATACATCACTACTGGAAAAACCATAACTTTGACTATGCAGACCTTTGTCGGCAAGGTGATGTCTCTTCTTTTTAAGATGCTGTCGAGGTTTGTCATCGCTTTCCTCCCAAGAAGCAGGTGT